TTTATTTTCAAAGTAACTTTCTGTTCTTACTACTGCAGACTTAGAAAATGATCAAAAATTAATACCTTCATGGTTTAGACATGGAGGCAAAGAGATGCATAAAATCAAACCACATCCTAAATATCATCTTTTAAAAAATAATCTATCTCAAAAGGTCAGTCTCATGGGTTTCTTATTTTAATACTGACATAATTAGATTCCTCCTAAAGATAGTTTTCTGATGGGAGTAAAGGCAAAAAACCGCTGGAATCTGCCCTTATTGCTTACATGTCTTGACTACAGTACCCTCTGGTTGTCAAAGAAGTATTTTGAGTTCAGATGCAATTTTTCATTTACTGTTGTGGGTTGCCAATGAGTAAGCCATTTCATAATAGTTCAGAAGCATGTAGACTGAGGAGTTTGTGATGATAGACAGCACAGCATAGTGTGAGGGTAGAAAGAAAGGAAGGAGGAATAAGAAAATGAATTTTAAGAGTGACAAGACTAATGTGTAAAATAAATACTAAAGGAGGTTCCTTTTCTTAATTGAATGCCTAAGGTATGACTTGTTTTGAGGCTGCTTGTAAACTGGTTCCCAAACTATTTAATTACTACTGTACCATTCATCTCACCCGTCTCAAAAATATTAATCATCAAATGGTAAAATATTAGCTTGTAGTAGGAGGGTAATGTCAGAAGCTGAAACTCCAGATCATTACAAATTCTGTCTCTCATCATGACCTTTTAAAGTCCATGCTAAACAAAATAAATAATTTTTTTTTAAGATTCTTGTCAATATTAAGAAATTAGGGATATAGGCGTAAAGTATTCTTGTCTGTATGACACATACATACACATACATAATACTTCATTAGTGCCTGACAATGTGGTCTTTGCTCCACAGCATTTCATTTAGGAGTTCATCTCTGTGTAAATGCTTCTGTGAATCAATGAAAAGAAATTCACAATTCAGCAAAACTGTCTGCTTTGATGTATCACTGTGTAGCAAATGAATCTTTGGAATCTGGAGGAGTGGATATTTGTAGTGGCTTTTTAGTACCTCCTTCAGAAGGCAGTTCTGTAGGAGGTAGGTTTCTCTTGCTGCAGGAGAAAGGAGGAGGTCTGGACCTAAAATGTGATAGGCTCGTGTTTGTTATGGTGAGAGGTGAGTGACTTCATGGTTGAAATTGTTAATAACTAGTATGAAGAGCACAAACTTAAGAATCTGAGAAACCAACAACCTCATTAAAGAACTGAGAAAATGCAACGCGCTCTTTGCCTTGCATAACCTGAGGTTCTGAAGGACTGAGACTGACTTTTTTCAGTGGTGGTGTTTGCATACAGATAATTACAAGCAGACTCAACTAATATGAAATGCTCTAAACGAATTGATTCAGCTAGACCTCCGCAAGAGAAAGATTCATGCTGTTTCAAAAATGATGCTGTCCTGTTTGGAGACCTGAAATCAGCAACAGTCGGTTTGAAAGTAATTGATTTGATGTCGAAGAGGAATTCTGCTTGGTCTGTTTACTGCTTTTGCCATGTGGACGAAAAAGAACAAACTGCGAGTGAAGTTACAGGTTTAAAACTTTGTTTCCTCAGCTGCCTCTTCTTTTCTTTCCTAAGTATAGTGTAGTTCTTTTAAGGGAAAGGGACATTTACTGATATTCAGTAAGGTAAACATTAAAAGATCTCTCATACGGCGTTTATATTTAAATGGTTATCACTGTTTCCCATGTTCTTCTGCTTTGCCATGTATAAAAGGTTTTTAGACATTACACTTTCTAAATGGAACGTTTTACAGTAGTTAATAGCTTCTTCAAGGAGAAGCTAATATTTGCATTCATCTTATAATTAATCTTCTATATTTTACATAATACAAAATAATGTGGTACTTTTTTTAGGCATTATAAGATATACTTTCAAATTTCCTTATTTAAAGCAGTAAAAATCCTGAGCTTTTGGATCAAATTTTTTTTTGTTTCTGGTGCTTTTCCAAACCAGTTTTCTTATTGTCATTGTGCATTCCAGGTTACATTTTTCATTTAGAAAATCTGTAATTTTTAGTTGGTGAAATGGCTTTTTTACTTTGAAATATGCACAGCCCCTATACAGATACATTTTTTGAGTCTGGATATATTTTTAACAAAATTTCTTAGCAGAATAAAACATCTCTATTTCTTAGACAGTGTTATACTGAAAATTACTACTGGAAATAGAATGAGCTAATCAATGTTGTTAACTTAAACTGATGATCAAAGTAAAAAGGAGGGAAGCATTGGGAAGACTTTGCGTAGGCTGATGCAAGTTGTATATTTTTGAAACAGAGTGTATGTATATTGAGAAAGTACTACCAATTCATCCCCCCACCTTTTTTACTTTTAAAATCAGTGATCCAGAAGGAAGCCTTCAAGCCATTCTGAGCCCCTTTTAAGAATTACCTACAAAGTCCAGCAGAAGCAGATGTAGAGGTTTAGGTTTTTCTGGCTGAAGGTTATACCAAAGGAAGTTAGCAGAGCCTGAACATGCTCTGGGAGCAGCATCTGTTTTTTCTATGTTACTTTCTTGTCTCAAGTAAGTACATTTTGGTTTGTGGATGGCACTTGGAAAAGCTTCCTTACTTTCTTACCCAATTAGTCCCTTTCAGTCTGTAATTAATAATAAAATGTCTCTCTTTGACTTATTAACTGGTGGCCACAAGTGCGTGCAAGTTATTTGGCCTTCAAGAGTATTGTGAAGGACTCTTGTCTGTCATAAGTCATGCTAATAAAAAAAGTGCACGCTACTAAGTTCAGTATTTTTTATTTTTTTAAATTAGTTTGTTCACTAGCCAAGTGTTGAAATAGAAAATTAGTGTTTTGGGTGGATTTTTACCTTCTCTAGTTCCACTATTCTGTATAGCTATAACTGTCAATAAATACATAGTTTTGTTTTTTTAAATTACTTCTCTACTTTAAATAGTTTTCATTACTGTTGACTAGTAAGAGGAGTTTCAGTTGTAGTATCCAGTAAGAATTATAATCTCGCTCCATAATATTCAAATAGTCGGAAATATTCAAAGAGGGACAATAACTTTCTGAACATTTTAGTCCAACATGTCTATTTCATGCATCTAGGATGCAGCAGCTTTAAAAGTTAGTGTTCCAAATTTGGCTTATTTTAGTGACTGACCTTGACGTGCATATCTTATCTGAATAATTGTATACAGAAACATGAAATATTAATTGGAGTTCAGGTAGCAAAACAAACAAACAAAATCAGTTATTTTAAATCAAATATTATTTTCCTTTCCTGACTGAAGCTTAAAGAAACAGTTCTGTATTCGGCATTGGTTGGAGAATTGATACTTACTTAAGTAGGAATTTGATGTAGAAAAACGAAACAAGCCATTTACAGTGGCTGAGATACTTCAGTATCAACAAGATGTTGGAGGAGAATTTTACTTTTCTTGGAGCGAAGCACAAGTATTGCAGGGGACATGTCAGATCACTACAGGACCGCATTGGAAGTCAGTGGGGTGAGCCCAGAAAAGCAGATCAGCTAAATCAGCTTTCCTCTGGGGTCAGGTTTGATCAGATCCACAATCTGATGCTTGAGTCATTGGGGTGGGGCGCTATTGGGGAGGGGAGGTGTCTTTTTTCTTTTTTTTCTTTTTGTGACTGAAATGTGTAGACCTCCATTCCATTTTGTAAACATCGTTTGAAACTAAGTGTTATTTATAAATATATCCAAAACATTTAATTTTCTTTTCTTTTTCAGCAGTATTGACTATATTGGAGATAGGAAGTGATGTAGTTTTAATTTGGTTTACTAATAGTGTAGTCATGTAGTTCAGTGAAAATACTACATTGTTTATTGAACTATTGCAATGCAGCAGTCCAACTTTTACATTGATCCACTAAATTGACTGAATTACACGTAAATACCTGAAATAGATATTGTGCTATTCTGAACTTTCCAGTTTTCCAGCATAATTTTTCAAAGGCTGGTATCTTCTTTCTGTGAAAATTTTAAAGTTGTGGTTAAACCATGTAATTCAAAGGTTGTGGGTTTTGGTTTTCTGAGTAGCAAAGCAGGTATTTGGCAAGTGTCAGCTTCTGGATTTTGTCTTGTTACACCATGCTCACTTTCTTGTGATTGCAAAGTAAAAAATGTGGTTGAATTGAAGTAATTTAATATATAGATTTAAATTGTATTTGTTGACAGAACTATGAATACACTGAAACAATGCATTGATTTTTAAAAACACATAATATTTGGTCTCACACATTGTCACAGTATTATATAAATTTTAAATAATTTTCAGTGATTGCCTCTCTACTCCAGTTTTGTAAATTATTTGTTAGTTTTGAAATGCGAAAGGAGAGATAAAGCCTCACTAATATATTGTCTTTTCATTTAAAGTTTACTCAGTAATAGCTGCTTACTGATCCAAAGGGGATGAACTTTACTTTGCTTCACTTTGTACAGACTGTTTTTCACAGATTCTTACCTCAAATGCTCCAATCTGCCAGGAAATTTCACAATCTTTAAATGTGAGCTTAGTGACAGCCCTTATCTCTAAGGGTCCTCATGTGGTCTTGTGCTGCGCTAGGTAAACACTGAAAATGTTAGGAAAGGAAAGAAGCTTCAGACACCAATTACTGCTTAAAATACCTGCTTGCATGTCTGTTACCACATGCGCCATACCAGTACTGTGTACCAGTTCTACAGAACATCTTACCAGAGCAGTGTTACACTTAGTACAAGGGCTTTTTTCTCTTGTTTGTTTTGTCTCTTAGTGTTTTCCTCTTTCATCTGCTCTTCCACTTTTTGCATTTTCTGTGCCTGATATGTGCATGTTCTGTGTCCCTTCTTTCTGCTCCGAGTTTCCTTACTATTTTACAGGTGTCCATCATTATTCTTCTTCTGAGGACTGGGGAGGAGGCTTTAGCCTTCCTCTGAGGAGTGGGGATTTAGCTTCTATCGTCAGAACACTTAATATACATCAACACATTAACGTAACATTTTGTATTCTGCAGGTTGGGAATCCACGTGTTGAGCTCACGCTTTCTGAACTTCAAGATATGGCTGCCCGACAACAGCAGCAGATTGAAAATCAACAGCAAATGTTGGTTGCTAAGGTAATGATTATATACAGATCATAATAAATACAAATTTCCTTCTAGAAACGCAAGCATAAGTTTCATGCATACAGAAAAACACATTAATTCATTTTAGATAAGCTCAAGAAAGAGCTTGAGAAATCCATTGTATTACCAAGTTAATCTTAACCTAGGCAATATACAACATTACAGTGTAAATGATACTATAACAACCTATGTCAAGCCAAATCATGTGTCTTTAGAAAAATATTGCTAAGTTTTGTTTGTCTCTCTTGTGACGCCCACTTCATGATCTGTGATAGACCAGGCTTGACTTTATGCTCATCTTTAGTAGCTCATTCACTCCAGTATAGTAATAGTGGTGTGAGATGGGAATATGCCTGCTTCATACATATTCATGTATTACATTTCCAAAGTCTCTGAGATGCAGGAATCTAAGTATGGTTTCAGAGTTTAATGGGTTTAATATTTTTGACGTTGCTGTAGGTATTATAATATACAGTATGCATTAGATGCCTGGAGTACCTACGAATCAACCTATCAATTCTGTTCTTTCTTGATGGAAATAACGTAGAAAAAGAAACATTTTCCTTGTGTGCCCAGCAGAAGGACTGTTATTTAGAACTGGGACATTATTTTGCAGTAGGTCAGCTTGTTTAAAATGGTCCGTTGGACATATTTTGTCGTCTTTTGGAAGCTGGATAACAGCATTGGAAGTTCATTTTGCAACAGCACGAAAAGCGTTGATAGCATCAGAAAACGAATGTCAGAGGAAGCTTCACAGATGTGTTAGAATGAGTGTCCAGGCTAGGGTTGTATTTGCACGTATATGTCAATTTGATATTTAGTCTAAAAAAATCTTGAATCTCTGCTCTAAAACAGATTTGTTAACTTTATGTTAAGAGTTTTTCTAGGAGGACTGATACATATCTTAACTAGATAGAAATGTTTCTGATTTCTGGAAATAAAAAAACCCAGTGATCATAGCAATGGGTTTTTCTAAGTTAACTTTTTTTTTTAAATAAGTGGGTAATGGGTACCTCTTGTCTAAAACCTCATTTTGTCAGGAACAACGTTTGCGTTATCTGAAGCAGCAAGAACGTCGTCAGCAGCAGTCTGTTTCTGAGAGTGAAAAGCTTCAAAAACTTAAAGAACGAGTTGAAACCCAGGAGACAAAGCTGAAAAAAATCCGTGCCATGAGAGGACAGGTGGACTACAGCAAGATCATGAATGGCAATCTCTGTATGTGGAAATTTTAAGTAGTTTATTTAATTTAATTTACTATTCACTGCATGACTAGCAAATAATGCTGTATTGCTAGTCAATATAGCATTGAAGCAGGATTTCGGATATAATGTTTTTGTCTTACGGAGGGTGCTGTGTTTCTATGAAATTTGTATATGATGTAACTTTTTGTTTGTTTTGTATAGCCAGGCATAAAGTCAGAATAAGTCTATTCTCTTAACTATTAGAAAATACTATGACTGTTAGAAAATTTGATGCGTGCATGCATATACTAGATTTAAAACTGTTGTGTTGTATTTATCAATACCTGTAGGATTAAAAAATTAACAACTTCTGCAGTACTTAATTGTTTTTTGTTATTTTTATCTTGTTAATTTTAGCAACTGAAATTGAGCATATAAGTGCCATGTTCCAGGAAAAGCAACAGGAGCTACAGGCTGCAGTGTTAAAAGTGGATCAACTTACTCAGCAACTGGAAGATTTAAGGAAAGGGAAGCTGAATGGGTTTCAGTCTTACAATGGACAGATGACAGGACCTGCAGCAATAGAATTAAAAAAGTTGTATCAAGAGCTACAGGTGAGTAACAAAGAGATGTGGTTTGGATGATAGCTGTAGATTTTAAAACGTTGTATTACTGTTCTTACCGGTGGCCGTTTGGTGGCATCTCATAAAATTGATGTATTGGAATGCTGTTAATGTGTGAGGTTGTAGTTAGCATATAACCCTTTCTAAAACAGAATTTCATTAGCTTTAAAAATATTTTTGTTGTTGCTCATACACATAATGATCCAAAGCATGCAAGTGTTCTGAGGGGCATTTCTCAGCCCCTAATACTGAAATACTGAACGTTGACGTAATCTAGTATTTGTTTAATCTCTCTTAAAAAAAAAAATTTAAAACATTCATTTTGGTACTTTTCTATTTTGCAAAGAACTAGGTGTAGCAAGCTCACTTAGATGTCATCTTAACTTGGAGCCATGACAATGAATAAAAGTTAAATTAAAATGCATTGTGAAAATATAGCTATAATATCTGGTGTAAATAAACAAAACACATAAGAATTAAAGAACACATTTTAACAGAATCGTCAAAAATATAAGCTGCACTGTATCCACTGCACTATATAGTACACTATAGCTGCAGTATATTCACACAGTAATCCCTGTATCAGTCATATATCTTCCTCCAAGAAGACTGTTAGATCTAAAGTGTAGTTCCCGTATGAATAATTAAATATTCAATGTACGTTGTCCAGTTTTTATGATTAAAAGTTATGGAATACTTAATTGTGTGCCAGTGTATCAGGATTTGAAGGCTTTTCTTATTTGCTCATGTACTTTATTGTGATCAAGGCAACAGCTCTAATAAATACTTAATATTTATAAATTAATTTAAATTTCAAAATTAGTCTTGCTCATTTCTTTACATGAACAAATACAACATACAATCCATGAATAAGCATCCTTTTTCCCTCTTTTTCCCCTTTCCCCATTTATACAAGGCATATCTGCCTTTCAAGTATTTCTAAGTGAAAAGATGTATTTAATACGTATCAACTACTTTATTAGGACACTTTTTCGCTGTTTTATTTTAAGAGTTTTTCATGGTTGAAAATGCTAATTTGACAGGCTGTGTGGAAACATAGCATTAGAGACATCAGAACAAGTTGCCAATCGAAGTTGCTTTAGGTTTTTTAACAACCTATTAAAAACCAACTTGACAACAGACAGAATGAAGTAACTGTCCTAACAAGTGCTTCCCTCCTCTCCCCCCCCCCTCTTTTTTTTTTTTTTTTTGAAGATTCGTAACAGGCTTAACCAGGAGCAGAACTCCAAGCTTCAGCAGCAGAAAGAACTCTTAAACAAACGCAATATGGAGGTGGCCATGATGGACAAGCGAATCAACGAGCTGCGTGAACGACTATACAAGAAAAAAGTTGAGGCACGTCAAAAAGAAAACATTCCTGTAAGATAAACTGTTAAAAGGGCCACGCTTTAGTTTATCAAGAGCCTATAAAAACTACATAGATCTCACTTTTTCCCAGCTGAGCAATACAATTACATCTAAAGAACCTATTTTAAAAGTAACGGACTTCTTAAAACTATTTTAATGTTTTCCATAGATATCAGAAAACTGTTAGACAGTTAGACAGAATGTGTTTTCTTTTATTTTTCTCTGTGGCACAGACCATACTATATTAAAAATTATAGTAGTTTATATTTCTAGGAAGGAAAGTGTGATTATGGGCTGTGTTTCAAAGCATTAAAGTATAAAAAGTTTGGTTTAAATAAAATACCGATCTTCCAATATGGAAAACTGATAAAATATAAATGGTATGATAAAGTTAGTCTTAATAGTTGCCTGGAACTTTGAAAAGAAACTAGATACACAGTAAACCATTTATCTAAGGGCTAGAGAGATCAGTTCTAGATTTCCATTTGTATTCCTAGCTGGAGGTAATGCTTTTAAAAAAAAAAAAAAAAAAAAAAAAAAACAAAAAAAAAACCCAAAAAAAAAAAAAAAAAAAACCCCACCAAACATATTTGATCATTTTAAGAACTCATTTTAGTCCATTTGCCTAAAAAAGCACAGTGAGAGAGTCCTTATGCAGATAAAGGTTTCTACAAGAAATGTATGTGCTGTGGCTGAGAAATTTCATTTTTAGGTGTTGATTTTAGGGAATAAAATTTGTACTTTCTACTTTTTGGGGTTTGGGTTTTTTTGGTAGAAGTATGGGGTATGGTACCTTAATTACTGAAGTGTCTTTGCTGCAGTGCATGGTTCTAGATAATTAAATTTAGACCTCCTGTTTGTGCACAAATGCCTAGATTAAATGGAATTTCACGTTTCAATTTGATTTTTTTTTAAATTTTTTTTTTTTTTAGTTGAATCGTATTAATGGAACTTCTTCACCCCAGTCATCCTTGAGTGCTTCGGGAAGGGTGGCAGCAGTAGGACCTTACATCCAAGTTCCAAGTGCTGGCACTTATGCTGTACCAGTAGATCCGGTTAAGCCACAGTCTCTCACTATTGCTTCCAGCTCAACACATGGAAGATCAAAATCTGGTAAGCGCTTAAGTGTGGTATTTATTAATACACATGGTTTGGAAATGAGTAAAAGAGAAAAAGAGTAATCTTGGGGCACCCAGTATTGGTATAACCTCTGTAGGGGAAGAGGCAAGTGCTGTTCTGGGAATTGGACATTAGTCACTTGATATGAGGCATTTTTGCCTCTTTCCGTGAATTTTTCTTAGGAGATAAGAGTTTTCTTTGAAATTTTACTAGCTGGTACACCTCTAAAAGGAGCACATGTTCCTTTACAGATTCTAGGTTCTGTCTTTAATAGCTTTTCAATTATTTTGTGTATTTGAATATACTAATGAAATGAACTTTGTGGCAAACTATATTATAAACACCTATTTACAGTAAGTTGCTTTTTGTTAAGTAAATCAAAGCTATTGGGAAAAAGTAAAAATAATATTACTCCTCAGAAGGGAGACCAAATACAAAAATAGAATAAAACTTTGGGAAGTTTTTTCTCCAGCTGAGATATGAAAATTTGTGGTGCTTGAAGCATTTCTGAAATGGAATAACCTTAGCATTGATGCTATTTACTTGTTTCTGCCTTCATTAGTGAAGGAGCTGCCTCTTCAGAGGCAAAAACTCCCCAAAACTTGATGTCCAAAATTGACTCCCATGTCTCCCATAATAATTCCATTTACATTATAAAATATATTTTTTTTTTTTTTAATTTACATTGGACACTGAAAGAAGCAGGTCATGACATTTGTGCCTTAAGTTCTCTTTCTGGCAAAGCTCACCTCTCTGGTCACATCTTAGCAAAAGCAGAATTCTTAAGAAATGGCTAGCTAGGAAAACACGCATAACAAAAATTAACAATCCCATGGGTCAAACCACAGGACTTCGTTTACCTGGTCTTCTAGGAGAGATTTAAAAATGAGATAAGCAATGACCACTAGAGCAAAGCTTCTGCAATATTCACATACGCTCCAGTACTTAAAACTGAATACTTAGCAAAGCTTGCAGCTTTCTTCCAAATGGGGAGAAAGAGATGGGAGGAAGAGATGGAGGGAAGACAGTCTGAACCTCTCTGTAGGAAAGAATGACAGAAATGCTCCCCCTCAAAAAACCCAAGATAAAGAAGTGAAATTATCAAACGGAACTTTAAAAAAAAAAAAAACCAAAAAAAAACCTCAACGTCTTTTCCATTGATATTAGTGATTTAGCAATACCTTTAGTTTAATTCAAAGGCTGTACAAACCCCCACTGTCGTTTTATGGAAAGGTCTTAGGAATATGGAATGACTTAATTGTGTAGTGACAGACTTGCAACAGTTTTGTTTTCAGACGTGGATTTCTCTTCCACATATGGGAAAGGACAGCTCATAACTTTTAAGTTCACCAACCAAAAGTAATTTGCTATTTTGTAAATATCAACCTCAAAAGTTATACATACCCACTTCTAGACCTCAGGAGGTTACAAGATCTCTGAATGACAACTTTTTGATTTTACAAAAGTAATTACCTTAGGACTGACTTGCTTATTACTCTGAATGTACTTGAATTAAGTCCTATAAGATAGATTTATGTAAAGAGAAGTTTATATGCTCCCAGGAAGAAAAGAAATTGAGAATTTTTTTTTTCGACTGTCACGCTTTTATTTCTCATTATCTGAGTGTTCCTGTTCTAATTTCTCCATTGTCATTGTTATAATTTTTCCACCACTTTTTTTTCTTTCTTTTTCTGTGTAACTGGATCTGCCTTGGTGTGTCCGGTAGAGACGGACTGTGGGTGTGTGAAAAAATCTCCAGACACCTGGAAGGTTTCTGATTTAGACATAATAGTGGATCCTATTCTGTCACCTCCCACTTCTCTTCAGTCTGCTGTTCACAATGTCATCCGCCTGGCACCTACTGTCTTTGACACCCAGCACTGTGAGTCCGTAGAAGATCTCTGGCTAGCTAAGAACTCAGTTTTTAATATGGTCATCTGAGCTCTTGCATACAGATGCATATTAAACAGCATCTTTAGAACTTGTGTTGTGGTCTGGCATGCAGAAGATGCTGTTGAAATGTACAATTGTTGAAAAGTTGCTTTTCGTCTTTGAAGGAAACAGATTTGCAGCAAATTCATCCCTGGAGTACTGGAGTAGTGTACTAGGGATGAGTTTTCTTTGTTGAAAAACCTTGACATTTTCTAATTGTTATTAGAAAATCTGTGGTAATCACCAAAGCATGTTTTACTGTATCTCAAATTAGATAGCTGTATTACATACAGGCTTAGCTTGAGTTACATTGTGGGAAACTTTGAGTTTCCATGTTGTGCTGGCCCCAGAGTTGGGATACAAGCTCACTCTGTCCAAGTCAATAGCAAGAATCTTGCTGACTTCCACTGGACAAAAATGTTACACTTGTTTTGTACTTCAGTTGCTATAGTAAGTATCCTGGATCCAGACCTACAAAAATTTTTAGGTAAAATCGGAGAAAATGCACAAAACCTGTTGTGTCTGCATGTCACCGTCTTATTTATGTAAATACGAAATGGGGGGTGGGAGTTGAATTACACTGGGTGTTAGGTAGACTTACGAGTGGCAGCCAAGAGGGTACATTTGAAGGAGAAAATGAAGCCAGTTGGCTGAAATGGCTGTGGGGTGGCTGAGAGCAGCAGCTAGTGAGAGCTTGTCAGAAGGGCGTTGCCATCAGATGGGCAAGAGTGTCTGGGACCTGTTCAGCCTAACCGAAGACAGCAGAAGGCAGACGCTGTTTGGCTGCTTCCTCTTAGCCCCTATCGCGCAGGATCTGGCGCTATACACTGCAGTTGCAGATTGCAACAGCAGCTTAGTTGAGCGCATGAGATCCAGTTTGGGTTGTGGGAGTACGTGAGAGGTGCACTCATAAAACATGCATGGTAGTTGGCAAGTCTGCCAGATTGTAATAGGAAGGACATAAAGGTGGGAGCAGTTATATTCTGATGTTTATGTAAGCAGAATGAAATGGAGAAGTTAGAGAGAGGAGAGAGAGTTTGAATTTACTTTCAGTCTGTTATCTCAGAATCTGGGCATGAACCTGCTAATATTTGGAATTCGAAGGATTACAAAAAGGTTTTGTATAACTATCTTTCTGATAGAAGAGTGTGGGCTTGTATTTGCAGGTAAGAGAATTAAATTCTTTGGGTTTTTTGCTGCTGTTTCTGCAAGTGCTTTCTTAATAGCTAAGCTTACGGTAGAGATGCTTTCATGTTTAGCGTGAATCAGTTATAACACCTCTTACTGATCTTCAGAACAAAAATTTTACTGAACTATAACCTTACTGAAGTTACAGAACATCCTGTGAATTTTGTAAGGTAAATGTTAATTCAGTGCATACTGAGAAAATTTGCCATTATTTAGGGTCAGAGTGTTTACACAGTCATCTCTTTTGGTCTTGCTTTTGATAACCAGGTGACTAAAACCAAAAACAAACAAAAATCCCAACATGTCCAGTTCTCGGATGTTGCCAGTACTAAAGCCGGGCCTCATTACTTTACTTCCTGACAGTTTGCAAGTACAAAAAGTGATTTCTGGACTATGTACTATATTCTCAGTGTCTAAGTGTGAGAGTGTTAGCCCTATTGAAATGACCAACCGCGAAAATACTCTTGCTCCAAAGTATTATCTCTCAGAATTTAAACACAGTTGATCTGAATTTGAAAGGTTAATACAATATAGTGTGCGTAATAGTAAGGAATGGTGTGCACGTGTAATTAAAACATAACTAGTATGGTAGCTTAAATGTGGAAGTACAGCTTTTTTTATCTCACTTAAAAGCGATATAATTTTCACAATAAATAGGTTTATGAGCTAATGGAGTGGATTTGCACTCATATAATGAAAACACTGGGTAGTGATTGCCAAGAAATCTTCGGGTTGTCATTTCCATGGGGGGAGAGAAAAGGGATACTCAATAAAGAGGACAAGGCTTATGGATAGAAAATAGAGTGGTGATGTTAAATTCACTGTAATTAGAGTGGTCCTATGCAGGTTATTCTCAGACTGTCCACTATATTTGACAGAGGATGGCAAAGAATTCTAGAAATAGCCTTGCTGACTAGGGGCTTTAAACTGACATGAAATGGGAAACTTTACCATTAAATACCCAATTCTCATTTGATGCTGTCTTACTACGGGGTCCAGAAATCTCAGTAGATATACACACAGCCCCCCACACACCCCACCCCCCATTTTAGTTGTTATCCTCTAGTAAAGTTAGTTACATGTCATCTTTACTGATCCTAAGTGCTCCACCAAGATAATGACAGGCAATAGGGAAGGAGAAATGATCTCTGATCTCCTTAGAGTAAGAGCAACCTGAAGGTTAATCTTTTAAAGGCAAATCAAAGCCTTAGGATCTAACCAGGGATCTATTTAGTTACTATAAAACAGATCTAATTATCAGGCTATTTAAACTGTCTCGCTTACTTAGAGAACAGAAACCAAATAGTTTCACACAGTTAATAAAGAAACACATCAATGCATCTAAGACTTCAGTAAGGATTTGTTGCTTCAGTTTATGTGCAGCTGTGCATGATTTTTTGCATATGATGAAGATAAAAGCCCATGACTTGTATCTTGACACTGTGAATTGACGTTGTCAGCTGACTTTATAAATTTCTTTAAAATTAAATCTCTGGGGCAATTCTAGTATCAGGTGAGTATGTTGAGGAAAAAAAAGGTAAGTTAACTGCCACTTCCAGCAAAAGAATGTATGCTTTTGTTCCACCCCATTGTTGAAATGTTTTGGTTTTTTATGTCCTGTTGTGAGTGAATGAATCTAGTAACCATAGTTTAAATTTGGGGTAAGTTCGCTCAGAGCTTACATAGACTTAACATTTAGCATAACTTGACAGTGTCTCTGCATAGTACCAAAAGAACTATGTTGATGAAGTGTTTCTGTAAGGATTTTTGTTCTGAACTTGTTTGCCTTCTAATAGTAGAATATGCAACACAAACAAAAATGTTCATCTTTTTTTTCTATAGAAATTTTCAATACAATTTGAACATCAAAGGGTTATGAACAGCATATTATATGCAGTGATTGGGCTTTCAGTATTGATTTCTGAATGAAATATTAATAGTGATTTATCTCACTTCTGGAATCAAATTAATCCTATTGTAATCTAAGCTATTCCATTTCACATGTTGTTTTGCTTGTTTACAATGGTGGTGTGGATTATCTTAAATATAGTATTTTTGTCTGTTTTAAAGCTAACGATGGAAATTGGCCAATACTTAAACAGAGCTCAACCCCTGTGGTGAAACCCCCTCAGATCTCCAACACAGACTGGAAAGAATCAAACATGGATACTGCTTTAAAACAAGGAACTATATCCAGCCAGCCTTTGCCAACTTCAGTATTAGGAAGTACTGATAAGCTGGTGGGTTTCATCTGTGATACATTTGTAGATCTGTTTTGCTGAAATTATGAACCTTTGGCTTCCATAGCTGAACTCACTTCAGTTCCATACATACTCAGTTTCCCTCCTGATGATTATTTAAAAAGTCGTTAAGAAAATTACCTTTGTATTCCTCCTGTTCCTTTCTGGTCTTATCACATTATAATATTTTTTTTTTCAACTTCAGTAGTTTGTATTCTTTTCCGTTCTTTTACATATCTGGTTTCCCTTTTTCTCTCCCTTTGCTTCGCCTAATTGTCTCCCCCACCTTCCTATTTTTCTAATTCAAATCTTTGTTACTCTTTCTCCTTCGTGTAGATTCTCACTTTTTCAATGTGCTCTTTTTATAACAAAAATCCCACAAAATAAGTCATTAAATCTATCCTTGATTGAGTCCACTGGTGTTGTCTGTCTCCACTGTTGATTTAGGTCTTTATGAATTCTTTAAGACTGTAATCTTTAAAGAATAAGGACCTTGTCTATAAATAGTTTTGGGAAACTCTGTTATCACACTACGTATTATCAAATACATTATCAACAAGATACCAAGATCTAAAACCTGGAACAAGTTATTCAGGCTTTTTAAAAGTATGCAAACAGTTTTGGATTCATATTAATGTATTATAGCTGAAGATGCCTTTAAACAGTGGCCTCTGTCTGATGTATGATGAGGTCTTTTGATAAATTCGGGTAGTCATATCTAATGATTAAGGAACACAAATTGTTTTTATTGACTCCTTTGTTGTCACACAAGATGATTAGTATGTTTTGTTGAATGAGGAATATTCTTGCTCACAAGTACTTTATTTAATTAAATGGTGTATATACTATTTGTTGTTCCTGTATAGGGTCTTGACCTGGGGAAGGTGCCACCAACAGTTCCTGGTGTAAGCAAGCAGTTGCCTCAAAACTATGGGACCTATCCAAGTCCAGTTCCCTTAGGAACAGGTTCTACAAATTCTCTAGAAAGAAGGAAGGATGGCAGTCTGCCCAGACCTGGCACCAGTATAACAAATCGGCAAAGACCTGTTCCACTTCCGCCGCCAAGCAACGTACATCAGCCCAGTTCTTCACAACAGATTCAACAGAGAATTTCTGTACCTCCCAGCCCTACGTATCAACCTTCCGGTCCCCCCTTGTTTCCAGGAGGAGACGGCAGGCCAGAACTCCCTTTAACTGTGGCAATCAGACCTTTTCTAGCTGATAAAGGATCAAGACCTCAGTCTCCCAGAAAAGGGCCACAGACAGTGAACTCCAGTTCCATCTACTCAATGTATCTTCAGCAAGCAACACCACCAAAGAATTATCAACAAGCTGTATACAATACATTAAATAAGTCAGTAAAAGCAGGTAGAATATATTTTGCTTTATTTTTTTCCTTTGAAATAGACTGTTAAGATCTACTTACTGGGCTTAGTTTACTTTCCGTATCAGTTTGAAAAACTTGTGTAAATCTGTGAGAAGAGGAAAGATATTTGTATGTATGCATGCAGCATGGCAGGAAAATGATCTCATATATTTTTGGGGTGATAAATAAGTAAACATTCAACTACCTTTTGTTTAAAACAAGATGCAATTAGAACAGTCTGCATACTCTACCAATACTTTCAGAAATGAGCTGAAAAAACAGTGTCTAGAGAGAAGTTTTCTCCTCTTACTGTTTCCTTGCGAAAGAGGAAAAACATTTCAAGTGTTACTTGTAGCTTATAATTGTAAGAAGCATCACCGTCACCAACAGGTGAGTATTTATTTCTGATAGGTTTCAATATAATTAATTTGATTTTTTTTTTCTTTCTGTCAAACAAGTAGCAACAGAGATACGTGCAGTTTATTTGCAAATATTTTATTATGTAATTTAAGAAGGGTTCTTCACTGTTTTCTATCTTTCTTTTCTTCAGTCTATGGAAAACCTGTATTACAATCTGGTTCGACTTCTCCCTCCCCCTTGCCGTTCCTTCATGGTTCTTTGCCTGCCCAGACTTCCTCACAGCCACAATCTCAGCCTCAGACTGAGGTCTCTGAAAAAGATCAAGAGCTGGAAAATGCTCCACCATCCAGTGAAAATAGCAATGTGGAAAACATTCCTCGTCCTCTCAGTCCTACTAAGCTCACGCCTATTGTGCATTCACCCCTACGATATCAAAGTGATGCTGACCTCGAAGCTCTGAGAAGAAAACTGGCCAATGCTCCTAGGCCATTAAAGAAGCGTAGTTCTATCACTGAACCAGAAGGCCCAAGTGGACCAAATATACAAAAATTATTGTATCAGCGCTTTAATACTCTTGCTGGAGGAATAGAAAGTGCTCCTTTTTATCAGCCAAGCAATCCACAGGACTTCATAGGCATCTTAGCTGATGTTGATAACGGTAACACTAGTACCAATGGCAATATTGAAGAACCTATTTCCGTGCAACCTACAGTTCCTCTTCCTGATGAGCCACCCCCTTCGTCTGATGCCAATGATAATGAATTACCTTCTCCTGCTACTGAGGAACTGATAAGCACTGAAACCATAAATCAAACATCTGAGACAACTGAAGATAACAACAACAATCCTGCTATAGTTCCTTCTACTGAAGAGTCATCCAGTCCCACACCTGAGGTTAGTTCTCCAGTAGAAGATGAAGCTCCTTTGCCACCTGCGCTTCCTCCTCCGCTTCCTCCAGTAAGTAACAAAGCAGTAAGACAATTTTGTGAACTATAAAATTAGCTGCATTCTTAACCATAAGTGGAAGATGGTAAGCTTATACGAAATGGTATGTTTGCACTTCAAGTTTCACGATACTAAAAGAAAATCAGGGGGCTCCAAGGAGAAAGCTGATGGATTATTTTCTTTTCTACTGTAGCTGTTTAATAAGGAAGATATGCATACAGGCAACAGGAGGTTGTGTATGTACTTTAGGTCGTAGAACTTCTGGGGGATATACTCTTGTTGTAGAATTAATTCTAGAATCTGAGATTCCATAAAAAATACGTGTTTCACTTCCCCAGGCCTACAAAGTTATCTATTTGTATGAAACTAAGGGCAAGCTATGTCAGTGGGAAGCTTTTTAATTTGCAAGCAAGCTGAAATAACTGTTCTGGGAGAACAGCAGAGAGATGCAAGACTGGGGCTGACAACACAAACAGCAACACAGCCGACTTGTTTTAGCAGAAATGTTTTTCTAATGGGCTTGTCACATAATTTGAATTGCTTTCAAAGTCCCTCCTCCAGCTCCACCAAAATCTTTTAATTACTTGTCATTACCAAAATCCTACAGCATATGGAGAATTGAAAGTAAGAAGACAACTGAATTTTATTCTCAGTTGTTGATATGACTCACTTTAATATTGGTTTCAGAGAATATGTCCACTTCTTGATTCACGTAGGGACCTTCTGCCAATTTGACTGCAGTGTGCACAACGCCTTGCATGCATTTTCCATGAGCAAAAGTGGGCCAGGATACTTCTGGGAGAATGGAATATGCTGGCAACAGATATTACTCATACTGCGAGAGGTTTATTTTCCAAACTGCAACAGCCGTACTAAATAGGAGCATAAATGAAAACGGATCTTAGAGTGCTAGAGACTGAAAGCACTCTATAAAAGCTGTAATTAATAACAGATTTTTTTTTTCTGGAAAGTGACACATGTGAATGATTCAGAATATTCTCAAAACACATTTAAATGTTTTTCAGATCTTGAGAATACTTCTTCTGATAAACACCAGCTAGAATGTCACATAAAATAGCTTCATGTTCTGTACTTTTCTTTCCCAGAGCAAAACTTTTAACTTGTCAGCACTGACCTACAGCAGACACTTTTGCTAATTCAAGGCAAAGATTTGTCTGAGCAGAGACAGATACTCAGGCTTGTGTCATGCTTTCAGCTGTAAGCAAAAGTTCTGACGGTGTCTCAGACAATCCACCAGAAACACATTCAGCTCATATTAGACACAATTTAGATGGTGGTGTGCAAAACCCATGGACTTAAGTACTTCGTTCCTTGTACTCGCTGCCTTTAATTAGAAGCTTCCAGATTATATTGGCACGCTTTTTCATTTTTTTAACCTTATAAGATGTAGTAAGATATCAAGCCTTTTATTTAGAGAATTTATAATAGAAACGTTTGGATAGTTCTAATTACCATTTAAGGAGGATGGGATTCTTCATCTAGTTAAAAAGTATCATCTGAATCATTTGTAATACCTATGCAAGCTGAAATGATGCCTTCCAACCTTCATCTCTACTCAGACAAAACGTACCAACTTGAAGAAACCGAACTCAGAAAGAACAGGCCACGGCTTGAGAGTGAAGTTCAATCCCCTGGCCCTCCTCCTAGATGCTTCTTTGGAGGGAGAATTTGATCTTGTACAACGAATCATATATGAGGTGAGCTTCTAAACAGTGGCAACCTCTTCAAATATTTAGAAAAGGAAAACAAAGTGCTGAACTATTTTATGTTTTCAATAGGTTGATGATCCCAGTAAACCAAATGATGAAGGAATTACACCTTTGCATAATGCAGTGTGTGCTGGTCATCACCACATCGTGAAGTTCCTGCTTGATTTTGGTGTCAATGTAAACGCAGCAGATAGCGATGGGTGGTAAGATTTTTAACTCGGCATCTGGGAGAAACACTATTTTGATACACATTCAAAATTTAGTTGACACCTGTTTTAGGAACAATTTCCTTCCCCTTCACCCCCAGCAAATGCACGCTTTCTAATCTCCAGGTGGTGGCGAACTCAAATGCAAGGTTATGCTGTGTTCAACTCACATGCAAGCACACTTAAATCATAAAGTATATTACATTTTGGTTTTACTTAGTGGTATAGTTGCATTTCTTTCTTGTTCACATCCTGAAGTAATTAAACTGTAAATAACAAATGACAAAAGCTAATTTGCTTAAGTTTCATCTTCATATAACTCACCACAGATTTTGGTGTTCTTGAAGAATTGAGCCTTACAGGTAGACGCATCACTTCAGAAGCGTTTGGAGGGGATGTGAAACCTTGCTGTGCTGATCTGTTTTGCTATCAATCACCTTTGTTTACCTGTCAAATTTCCTCATATTGAAAAAAATACCCTTTTATACCCAGCAGCTTTGCAAGATATGAAAATCGACATTTTTCCTAACGTCTGTTTTATAATGTTTGCGTTTACTGGAGTTGGGTAAATCCTGGAATCCACTCCAGTTGCTTGACAGGTTTTAGACGGCAAGACGAAATAGTTAGGATTCATAGAATTTTTTTTTTCATGCGTACATTTTTTGCTTTATTTCAGGACACCTTTGCATTGTGCTGCTTCTTGCAATAGCGTTCATCTGTGTAAACTGCTGGTTGAATCCGGGGCAGCTATTTTTGCTTCTACTATAAGCGATATAGAAACTGCTGCAGACAAGTGTGAAGAGATGGAAGAAGGTTATATTCAGTGTTCCCAGTTCTTGTATGGTAAGCTGTGATGCTGCTTTACAAACTTTTTTAGCTTTCTAAAATTCATGCCTTTTTGTCTCTCTGATCTGTATGAAACATCTGCTTAGGTCCCAGACTTGACAATACTGCCCATCAGCTGCCTGTTCTTTCAGAATGCTAAAACCAGAATAGTCTTTTCATTATTTTGTTGCTCCTAGTCCTTCTGTTCACAGGCTCCTCCTAATGTTACAGTTGTTCAAAGTTTGATTTGGCTTAATTTCAAGGAAATGCTTCCATGGGGAGGTTTTGACAGTAACAGTGAGTTGTCAAGTACCTTGACAGAGATATTCCAACTTCCAGATGGACGAATTTCTAGCAGATCACATGAAGAAACATATACTTTATGAATGATTAACTTACAGAATGTATGTAGTTACTAAGATATATTTTGCAAGAGAAGTATTTTGATGGAGCAGACAAATTTTTAATTTACATCAGAGAACGTAAGCGTCATTAAGCCTCTATATACCTGATGTTGTGCAGATTTTCAAAAGCTTCAAGTGTTACTTTATAAGGCCTGCTGTAGAAACATACAGCTGGTCTATAAAGCTGCTTTGCTCAAACATTTGTAAAATTATTTTTATCCTTATTTGAATAAAAGATTGTAAAGTTTCTATGGCATATGTAACAAAAGAGAAAAAACTCATGTTCTAAATGGGTTTAAAATAGTCTGTAAAATTTGGGTTTATCATGCAGTTAAATTTCTGAAAGCATTTCATCATGGAAGTGCTGAAAATTGTTCATAAAGTTTTATTAATAAGAATAACATTTGGGCCACAGTGTCCATATTAAAAATTTCAGAGGGAAAAATAGGATATTTTACCATCTAGTGCGTTCTCTAATTTGTTGTCAACAGGAGTGCAAGAGAAGTTGGGAGTGATGAATAAAGGAGTGGTGTACGCTCTGTGGGATTATGAAGCCCAGAACAATGACGAGTTGTCATTCCACGAGGGCGATGCCATTACTATTCTAAGACGCAAGGATGACAATGAAACAGAGTGGTGGTGGGCCCGCCTCAATGATAAAGAAGGCTACGTGCCTAAAAATCTTCTTGGGGTAAGTTCTTCTTAAGTTACCTTCTCCCTTCTATTTTTTTACTTCCTCTGAAGTAAGAACACAAGGTGGATCTTCGGTCAGAATCCCTCTGTGCATCATCTGGATATGCTGCTCTGCAGTGCTGCAAAGCAGACTATCCTTATTCTCCCTGGCCTCTCCGTCATTGTAAACAAAAAGGAGAGGCTGAGGCTAGGAGATTAGTGCTCTTTTTATTTGGCAAGTTAGTATATTGAATATATTTTATGCTTTAATCTTTAAGACTTTCTTTTCCCTTGGCTAAAATGTAGGGCCCCTGCGTAAAGTGTGGTGGTAGCTTAAAGCTTTGGCCCAGGAAGTTCTTTAGAAAGGTTTTTAATACCTGGCACAACATAAGCAACATCCAGGTATGAACAAATTTAAAACAGGAAAGACCCTTAAAGATGACAGCTTTAGGCAAGCTGTTTATGCTGCTCTCAGTCAAACAGAACACTGCTATCATGAGAGACCAGGAACATAAGACTGCAAGTAGAGAGACACAGAGGACAAAATGTGTAAGAAAACCTTGGAGAGCAGGAAATAACTCCCTCTAGGGCTCGACAGGGAATTCTTGTATTCACATAAAAGCATCCTTTGGTCTAGTCTGAGATCTTGAGCTAAATGAACGATTTTGCTGCTGTGGGCAGGAATGAGTCAACCCTTGGCCTCTTGCTGCTTCTGGTTTAATTTTTCAGAAGTTACCTAAGAACATGCTGTAGCTTACAAAAACCTTCCCCTAGCCTCCCAACGCTTCATCACCCAGTTCTTGTTAATAAGTACCCCTCGGCTATAATTGAATTGATTTATATTTAATTTGGTATCAGCCGTGCAAAGCCTAATATTTTTATTCTGTTTTTACAGTTATATCCACGAATAAAACCTAGACAGCGAACCCTTGCTTGAATTCAGTTGTACAACAGTGCAATACCGTGCTGGTAACTGGAAACTTAAACATACACTGGAGCCATCCTTTTTGATCATTTCACACAGAGAAATAAAACTATGATATTTAGTTTTAATGGTGCTTTCTCTTGTTAAATGGACAGCATCCAAGATTTTCAAGATCTGCAGTTTGTAAATGAGGATCGTTTTTATGTGACCCACCACTGATGAGGAGAGCGATACCTCCACTACCTACAGTGTTGCACCAACTATTGTCTAAAGCAGTGTTTTAAGTTAAAGTTCCATGGTAGGAGCTTTCTTGTGTTAAATGTTCAGAGGTGTCACCTGCGGAGTGCAGATATGCTGTCCAGTTTGCTCCAACCCCGCAGTAACTGTCCCATGTCAGGATTTTGGATATTTTGTTCGATACCAGTGAATGTTGAGTTCTCATTACTGATCAACTCTTTGGGTTCTAGGACACGAGGTCTTCACCTATTAGACACATAATTAAGTAGTCACCAAAGCTTTATGAAGGCTAGGATTTTAAAGGGTAACATGCTATACACTTAAATCCTAGTCTAGACAACCCCAACAAAAGCTTTACATAGTCTAGCATCTAGTATTATTTGCGTTTAGAATCAAGCTAGAGAACTAACAAAACAACAGTATTTGTACACTTCTTAAAACCCCTACACAATATCTCACTTGGTGTTTTATTTTCATATTATTCAGCCAACAGCACCGGTGTTACCTCTACTAATGTAAAGGTTCCCCTACTAACCACCTGAGCTTGTCCCTTCTGGACAAAACAGTTAGTACTGAACTTGCAGCAGCTTAAGGGATTTGTATGTCTGCATGGATGAAAGTGCAATAGTTGAAAAGGGTGAGAGTCCGGTGAGGGTTACACTGTGTAATTTGAAGCCTGCTGAGTCAGTCTAGAAAATATGAAGGACTGGATAGAAGTAGAAAGAGGGTTGTGTAGATGCTGAGTCAAGGAGAAGAAAGAAACAAGGTTTAGAGAAGGATTTAAGAAAGGCAATAGCTTATTTGAGGACAGTTTCTGTGGTTCTTGGCAGCCTGCATCTGTTGCCAAGGCAAGTTATGCAATAACCTATTCCACTACATTGTAGTTTCAAGGAAGAAAAAAAAAAAGGCACTTCACTGGCATTTTAATTGTACATGATTTTATATACCAAAAGTATATTTTGAATTTCCCATTATAAGTTTTAGCCATATTTCTTGTAATTTTTTCCCATTTAACGGTATGCAATTTGATTAATTCTTCATGTACAAGTTCTGTGTATAATTTATATATCCATTTCTGCAGTGCTGTAACTTGCTTTTACCACAGGTTAGCATTAACTGTATATATTGTGGTGAAAAGTGAAAGGGTATTATCGTTGAAGAATTTGCTACATGAATGTGATGATTTCAAGAGCCTATGATACACTAATTCAGAGAAGATGTAAATGTGCACAATAAAGTACTGCTAAGGCATGGCTGCATTCTGCGGTATTTTTATATAGGTAGCAAACTGTAGACATGCCCTTGGTCATAGTCTACAAAAATAGAACACAGCAAGCTGGAATTACTCTATCTGTTAACTCAAGCTTCCTCATTGTTTTACTAGCTGCACAGAAAATGACTTGCCAGACAAATTTGGAACCTTCTTACACCACTACTGCAGCTGTTACAAATTAGTACTTGTCTAGAAAAGCTCTCAAGGGTCCTTTACGCACAGGCTGCCAACGCAGCCTCATCTGCTTGTTTACTCAATTTTTACCAGCAGAGGAAGACGGAGGGCAGAAACACACTTGGCTCAGCATGTGTAGCCAGAGGATTCATCCCAACAGTTGAACCAATTATCAACACTTAGAACTAAAATTATGGTGCCGTTTATAAAAAGTCCAAAGTTTCAGAGTTCAGAGAGTAGAGACTGCAGTATCCATCCTTAAAGAAGCTATATATTATGAAATTATCACTTCACTATTTTTAAATAAGTGAATTAATTTATTCAGATTTGTACATTAAAGTGTATACAATTTCAGATAGCATTACAGTTAGATTAACAAAAGCTAGTTACCAAAAAGAAAATACAAAACTAAAAATTATTCAGGGAGCTTATTTATTACAGAAGGAAAGTTTCAAGATCATGTTCATGTAAGTCCAATTTGGTGGTATTTGGTGAAATATTTAGATGTTTAAAAAGAAATGGTTTAAAAAAATCAAGTGACTTCTATAAAATCATATCTAAGGCAGATTTTATCATACATTGATTTTAAACATTTGGATAGAGGGAAAAACCTGAGATCTATACCCAAAAGCTATTCTCTGCAGAAGAGACGTACATGTTTGTTTGCTTTTTGTAGCAAACCGTATATATAATTGTTACTATAAAAGTTGTGCTGTACATTAGCTGTAGTGCAGGTCACTTTCATATTAAGTGCCAGTAAAGGCTTAACAAAATATACAAAGTCTTAGAAGGTGAGGCTGTTTAAAGCATTAATTGTATACATATTGCACACTATAGTGAATACTCATGGTTCAAAAAAATACTCACATTGCATTTGCCAGTTCTTACATAATGAACCACACGGGAATGAGAAAGGGTCAAGAACAGCAAACACTACCAGCTGTCAAATTTAGTGAGAGGCATGTCCATGGAGGCTGGTGTCTTCCCTCAAGTGGCTGGCAGTTTGCTGGTCTTACTGGTCCCGGGACTCATAAAGAAGTTTTGTTGCCTAACACGAAGACAAAGCGTCATTGTGTTAACTGGAGTTTCACTTGCAGCCACCTCATCTCCTTCCTACCCCTCCAAAAATTTCCTTTAATAAACCCAAGGCTTTAAGTTCTTCCTCTGCTCTCTTCCTTAGTTTAAGGCATTTAATAGCATTCAGTAATTTTTTTAAACTATTCAAGGTTACTTTAACTGCAGAACTTGAGGTTGCTGAAGATTTTAGATCAACTTACATTTGTTTCTTCTTGGTCAGAAATGACCATTTCTGAGCAAAACTGCCTTTAAAAAAGCTAGAAGTAGTATGTCTGAGATTTTGGTAATCTGTCTAAACATATGCAGAGAACACCACCATTCTGTTCCATACTCCTCCTAACTCTTCTGCTTCCCCCTTGCAAAGTTCTGGTTTGTCTCAAGCTACAGGATCAATCAACCCCTGTGCTGGGAATAGACGTGCTACTTCAGCTACAAATCCTCTTCTATGCTGTTAACCGGGACCTCTGAAAACCTCACTGCACTGATTGAGCATAAAGCTTAAAGTCACATTCATAACAACCAGCCATAGCTTCTGTTTTCCTGGGCAACAAGGCCCTAAAATCCTTAAATAAATAATAATAAAAAAAAAAAAAAAGACTCGGGGGGGGTTGGAACTCGATGATCATCAAGGGCCCTTCCAACCTAAACCATTCTGTGATGATTCTATGTAAAGATTTTCTTCAGCATTCTGTACATTTTGCCTTACCTTATGCATAGCTGCCAGCCAGCTTGCCGACAGCTTCTTGTTACAGCTGAAGTCTTCACTGGCTGTAAATTTCATCTGCATGAGCTCCTCTGATCCTGGTACCTTATACTGCAGAATCATACCTATGGCACGAGTATTACCTCCTGAGGAAAGAAAGAAAATCTCAAACAGCAACAGGTTTTACCAACTAACACAACTTCTTCTAGCTAATAAGCATGTTTGAAGAAAACTCTCTCATCGCTTAATTCAAAGCACTAACAACTGCAGGTGTGCTAACAACTGCCACATCAGAGGCGGTAGTAACCACGGGTGTTAATGCCAGGTAGTGGAATGGGCAGAGTCAATATTGTTTAATTCTCTCTGGCAATCACTGAGGCAGAACATGTATAAGCAGTTACGTAAAGCCACTAGCTACACACGCTAAGAATACCCTCGTGTTTTAATATTACCATATCTTCTCTTAAGTAGACACCATAGTTTCATACCATAGCCTGCAGTTTGTAAACTGAATTACTAGTGTCCAGTTAGACTGACACCAAAGAGGGATCCCTGCTTGATACAACATCTGGCACAGCAGGCAAAAGTCCCTCCAAATCTGGCAAAGGGTGGAGGGTGGGAAAGATGCTCATGCAAGACTGGATGACGGCTGGCAACATCATTTACTTCCTGAGGGAAATCCGACACAAAAGACATTGCTCTGCCAACAGTGTGATAGCAAGATGTTTGTATCTCTGTTACTCTTGCTGTACAGAGATTAAGATAAACCAAAGCGAAACTACAGAAATGAAACAAAAGCTTTGTTTAGAAGACCATGCTTTACTGGCATTATTTCCTGAAGTAGCAGAGCATAAACTAAGCCCCAGGAACAGCACTACCATACACAGAAGGATGTTTTTTTGAAAAGGTCTTTTTTTAAAAAAGCATCTGCGTGAGAGGGCTCCTGGAGGCCATTACTGTCATATCCATTAATCCAAACAAAGACAATCTCAGTCTAAGCAACCTCATCAAAAGCCCACAAGCAGCGTTTATAAAAGCAGCTGTTTGCTTCTCTTGTGGGATAAACTGAAATCCAACCTCATCCCTTGCTCCCCTGCATCCACCTGGTCAGACTAACGGATTAAGAGACTACTTAAAGATAAACCAGTGGAAATCAAACACCTACAGCCCTGACCAGTTTTGCCTGTGTCTGGCACTCTGGACATTACTTAGTCAGGCAGAACACACACTGCAAGAGGTTGTATTTTGTTCAAAGACATGTAAAAGCAAGCCATTCATTAACAGTTTATTTATTCAGTGCAAAGCCTTACTGGACAGGACACAAGCAGCATATTATTCATTTCTGGTACAGACAGTTCAGCACACCTCTGCTGAAGGAGGTGATACTATTTCTCCTCTTCTCTCTTCTAGCATGGACAATAGCACATGTGGTCTAAAGAAGGCCTTTAGTGTTTTAATGCTCCTCCAAAAAGTTACAAAACATTCATTCTCAGTTTTAAACAGAGGGGAAGGAATAGATACATGTCATCTTTGAAAATAACTTGTCTGAAGCTGAACATCTATAGATCAAGCAAAAAAACAGCACTGCAGATGGGAGAGGGGCCACGACAACATGCTTAGGTGCGTCATGCTCAAAGGTACTGGTGATACCTTCAGTAATATGCTGGCTCTCCAGAAGGCTGGTGTAAGTGTGAATATCTTTTTCTACCATCAAGAAGGAAGGCAGGCAGGCAAAAAGATAAAGCAGTCAGAAGAGTAGTGAACAAGGAATTGTAGGAGCATTAAGTAACTCAGCAACACACCTGGTTGATTTCAACACCAAGATAAGTTTATTAAAGTTAACATGCTGTACCGACTGAACGCTGCACAGATAGGCTGTCCGATTAGAAAATTCCAGCAGTGACAGAGGTGTTGCTAAAGAACAATTATTAAAATTCCTGACCTTGTTTGTTCTCATTTCAGTGAAATCATATTCAAGTTCATCCTGAAATACTCTAAAATCTGGTAAGAGATGAGGCAGTAAGTAGCTGCCCTCTGATTCAGATGATACCAGTTGCATTTGGCCACCCCTTCATTTTGAATGAAATTAAGAAAGCATATTTAATTATTTATTTCCAACCCCACAGTATCTCTCTTGCCTCACAATTCACAATTGTACCAGTAGAAGAGAAATCCCAGCTGGATTCTGCAATGGAAGTTACCAAAGACTAACAGTTCCCTCTTGTGAGCTTTTGAATCAATAGAAGTTTACATTTAGCCAAGAGAAGGGATCAGAACAGGTGATGACCGCCTTTACTCAGGTTTACTGAGAAGCTCTCCCATGCTACCGCTGTAAGGCAATTTCTCAATTCTTAAGTTTTCTCCCAAATCCCAGTAGCCAGGACAGGGTTTCACACGCTGCACTCTGTTCTGAGAGCAGTTGTAACATAATTACACCTAAGTTACCAATAAGCTAGAAATGCACTATATACCTCCAACAATAATTACAACTTCACTTTTTTTTTTTAATAGTTAATTTGTATTCAGCGCAAAATTTACCTCCAGGAGTAAATCCCTCTGTAAGTATCTGAACAGTTGAAATCTGTATAATTTCAATTTCGTAGTGGCTGTCTCCATCCAAAACCAGATATCTACATAATAGAAGAAAAACTCTTTAAAAAAATTTTTCCCCCTACAATAGCAAGTCCAAATCAAAGGAAAAAAATAAACATAATCTCTCGGTGACTAGCTGTTTACATGTTCTTTGGGGTGGGGAGGGAGAGAAATCAAGCATGAAAAATTACTTTTCATTGAAGTTCTTCACTTAAAGGAAAAAAAAATAAACAAACACAAAACCTATAGTTCTGTTTGGCCGGAGACCCTTTCAAAATATTAAATGCACTCTTCCAAAGCTCTGGGGGAAGAAGAGAAGAGTCTAAAGTGTTCTAGCCAACTAAATTATAGGGATGACCACAGTAATGCTTTGACTGTAACATGAAACAATACGGTGCAGTGTTAGAACCATTCTGAAACAAGCTTTTTTCAGTGGTTACAGACTTTTCCCTGCCCCCCCTTCCTCTGATCTCCCTATTGGCTGGTGAAAACACTGTATTCCAATGGCACCGAGAGGCATTATCAGTGAGTGGAGCTCCACCACCCCAAGGCACTCTGATCCACACTGCTAGTAAATTCAAACAACCTTACTCCAGTAAAGTTGCGTGTATCCTTTCAGTCTGCTTACTCTCTCCAATATCCTCACAGCAAGTTACTCTTACATTTTCTTTAGGTTATTAGACAATAATATAGCTGTAGTGCAACAATAATATAGTTTACAAGTGCAATTTCTATCAATCTTTCTCACCTCTGATTGTTGGAAAGTCGACAAACCATGAGCTCAGATTTATCAGATGTTCCCAGAGTTACAAAGAATGTAGCACCTGGAAAGAAATGTTTTAATATTCCAATGCAGAGTTTAGGAAGGAAGATTCAAGTATCAAAACTAATAACTACTTTTTACTTACTGCACCCAATACACTGAATTGGGTGAATTAAGAGACTAATTGAAACATTGAACTGATTATCATCAGCAGAACACTCAAGTATAAAAAGCTGATATTTAATTATCATGTTCTGAATCACAGGACCTTTCACAATTGCTATGTAATTTCTCCCACATGTTGCAGAAACACATATGATATGCAAGATGAATCTTTTAAAAATAAGAACAGATTTGGAGATGGCAAAAACAGGCAATTAAAGTTCCTATCTTGTCACCATAACACAAACTACTGCTTCAGTATTCTTTTAAAAATAAGAACAGATTTGGAGATAGCAAAAACAGGCAATTAAAGTCCCTATCTTGTCACCATAACACAAACTATTGCTTCAGTATTCAAAAAAAACCCCAAACAAACAACACCCAAAATCTGTCAGAAGACTAATAGCAGGATGTGACCTTCAGCTCTAGGCTTAATAGATAGCAAAGACACCTCTTTTTCCATTACTGAAGGCTAGCTCAGTCTTACTTTGAGGTCAACGAACTTCAGCCTTCATGTTATGTTTCTTCCTGCCCAAAACAACTCATTTGACATCAGGAGAGTCATCTTAGCTACATTAGTGAAGTGATTCATAACTTAAAATAAAGCAGACTACACGCCTAACCACTTTATTCCCTCCATGCCTCCCGCTGCCTGTATTACCTAATCCCAATACAGTTCATCTGGGAAATGAAGAAAATAACAACATACAGCCCTGCCAAATGCTCTGCAATCCAGCTCCACAATCCAAACCACGCAGCCTCGAACTGTTTCACCTCGCTGCCTATTGCACAATTTTACACAGTCTCACTGACCCCTCGGGATGGACCCCCATGCTGCTGCTGAAGCGAGACAGAGGCAACAGCAGCAAAACTGCAAAGGAGATCACAACCACCATCTCCCTGACTGAGATCTATCGTTCTACAGCAAATCAGGAACAACTTCAGATTTTAACTGCAAAACACGAATGCAAGCAGGAGAAGCTTTTAAAAAAAGATCTTCAGTTTAAAATACATTATGGAAGTCATCTACACCTTCACCTGCAAAGCAGAGTGAAGAATTTGTGTGTTACAGGGATGAGCATACTCCTTTCTGAACCTAGAATCTCCCTAGGAGATTCATGCTAATCAGACGGGTGGTTTACCTTACTGATTATACACGCTGGCATCATGCTGAGAGCCCATCAAAACGCACTGAATAATCACAGACTATTTTAAAAACTGAAGACTCAGCTTTCTTAGTGTAATTGGAACACGAATTACTGTATTGCATGTCGTTTTAATGCCATGCAAAATTGACCACTCATGATGATCTGCCATCAATGATAGCTGTAGGCGATGGACAAGATTAAAGCTCACAGATGAAGCTTGAAACAAGCACTGGGTCTTGTTAGAAAATATTGAAATATTCTCTATTGTTAAGTATTTTTCATCCTTATTTAATGTAACAGGGATATGGCTAAAAGATGCGTTATTTTAAGAAAAAAAACCAACCGCACCCACATCTGTTCTCTGAGGCGCTAAAAATTAATTTGTGTTTAATTAAATCACTCTTTGTAAACACTGACTAAAAAGTGTAAACTTCTCTCTAAATGAACGGATAATGCAATTATTAACGGGCAAACAAGCAGCACGACAACAAAAAAAGTAAAGGAGACAAAACTGCAGCTTGTTTGACAAGAGGCATTACTCTTGCTGTATATCACATTTGTTCAACACCGCATTTGAACAAATATAAATGAGATCAAACCAGCATATATATGCATTCAGTCCTTACCATTCATGAGCACTTTAAGCTGTTTGTCATAGAACTCTGTTTCTTTCTGAGAGATGAGGGCGCATTCAGCACACTGGCGCACAGGATCCACAAAGCACATGCGAGGCAGAGGCACTTTTTTACTGCAGCACTTGTCACAGAAGCACTTTCCACATCTTCGGCAGTGATGCTAAGCACGGGAGAACATTTTGTTTATTTATTTACACAGGAAACTATTAGAGAATAATTTGATAAAGTTACTACAATAAATAATCACCTCCCCCCAAAAAAAAGAACAGTTTCTCAGGTGCGAAAGATACAAGTTGAGGGACAGATAAAGGAGATGTAACTGCTGGAGTGGTAGGAAGAAGTATCTGAAGACTGAACACAAAGGACTGAGTAAAACAAAACACTGAAAGGGCTTCTTCAGCGTCCAGTAAATCCTTCACCTTACTGTCAATACAAACACAAAGAAGAGTGGTTTCTAGGTCCCTTCCCACTTCCAAGCAAAGATCTTGGGAAACTTCAACTGGAGATCCTATTCTTCTCCCTTAAAACTTATTCTCAAGTTTTTCCCGTGGAAACTTAAAACCTAAAGCTGCTTATCTATCGGAAATATCAGGCAGCATAGTACAAATCCAATGAAGTTACAAAATCAGAACTAGTATTGCACTGTGTTTCACAGCTACTAAATCTGCAACAAGTGGCTTCTGCTCCAAATCACTACTGGGGTGTGACAGTCCCAGCACATCTTCCTGATGCAAGTTCTCATGTCAGAACAAGTATGCCCAGGAACTGATTTGCAGCTCAAAGCAAGTTTGAACAGTTTGATACAAGGAACTGATACACTGCAGTTTTAGCTGGCGTTAAGCTTTCCTTCAAAATACTATGCAAAATTCTCTAGAGTACCTACTTCCCAGGGCTACCTCCACTTACTTCCCAAAGCTAACACAAGTAAAAACACAGCAGCCTAATGAATTGGTGCTTCTCAATTAAAATGCTCTAGCCAACCACCAACCCCGCTCTTAACCCATCAACTAAAGGGTAAAAACAAGAACTAGGGGAAAGTATGCTCCACTAGGATCACTAACTCACATCCTAATGCTCTTCAGACCTCCTGAAAATTTACACCTATCTGGTATAACATGTTACTATGTCTGGTTTACAATTTCTCCTTCCGTCTCCCTCCAAACAATAAATTAAAAAAACATCAACTATATCAATTCACTACCAGTCACACATCCACATCTTTTTCCACTTTCACAAGCGCATGCGTTGTGGTAGTTCTACAGAGGAATGATATTCCCTGCTAAAAATCATTGTTGGCCTTTTTTGGGAGGTTGCTTTCCTTCTCCATGCAGAAACCCCAGTATCAGCAGAATGTTTTCCGATAGCAGTATTCTGTATACCACCATGCATTCCACAGCGACCTGCTTACTTTTATGTAATGAACACAATTTAATTCTAATGTTAGTGTTTTCTCTTCATACAGTGAATACAGCTCACAGCAATCAAAACTTTATACTTTCTACTTTAATCAGAAATTCCCTCTTCCAATTTGAGATAAATCCTGTTTTACTTTTAGAACAGAAAGATAATCTGAGTTTTGGTTCTTCGCATTTTAACAATACGGTTCTTTAATGTAAAATTATAATTCATTATTCCTGAAAATATTTTTGCTTATATTTCCACAAGTAATTTTACCTCCCAAAATACAATTGAATTTGTTTGGTTTTTATGTCAGTACTGATGTTAGCAGCACACTCCAGCATGAGGTCCTCTAACTCTTCCTTTAAATGTAAATGCTGTGGGTACCCAGTAATTTGGAAAAACCCTAACTATGTATTACACACTGAGCAACAAGAAGAATTTCAAAGAAACAGAATTAAAACAAAAAGGAACTCTGCTCAGAAAAGGCAGAACAGAAAGAAAAACTACTTTAAGCCACACCAGACTTTGCATGCTATTCTACTGAAATCTTCTACATTTTATATCAAAACAAGTATTAGTATTTTGCACCAGTTAATGCTTTACATTTCATTGACTCCTCTTACCTTTCTAGTTATGAAGTCAAATTTTGTATCACACTGCATACATCTTGGGCACTAGAAAAAAGTACAAATTAAAATTAATCTACAAGATTTCCAAACCTTTAATCCTACTACCATCTACAAAGACTGTGCTTTATATTATGCCTTAAAAAAACCACACCTCCAACAAATTTCCTCCATCCTTTATCTTTTCACCATGGATGGTTTTCATTTACTTTAGCCTTGATGTAGTAAAAGAATGTCATCCCTATTTGTAAGACAAAAAAAGCTGCCAAACTAATTTACCCTAAGGAATCCTGCATCTTGCCAGCAGTCAAAACTACATTTCAGAAGTACTCATCATGCTTAATTATGTTTGGTCATCCAAACAGTCATATATTCCAAAGTCAACTGTTTTTATGTAAGTTGTCATCCTCACTGTATGATACTGTGATGCTCTAATGACTCTCTAAACCATTGTTTACATATTTTAATGCTCTCAATACTTACACATTTTTGAAACACGCTAGTGGGTATTTGGTTTTCTTCCAAGCCACTAAGACTTAATTTTTATTCCAGCTACAAAATGTCACTTCCTGAAATATCTCTTTTCTAAAACAAGCTTACACCCACACTTCTCCCAAAAGAAAAGCCAGAAAAAAAACGGAGAAGCTTCTCTCTCACAACTAAGTAGAGTTTAAGGGGTGACAGTTTTGATTTTGTAACATAGCAGACGTGATCAGTGATTATTTATGACAATTAAAATTTTCTATACAGAAAGTCATCTACCACAGGGCTGATATTCAGCACTTAGATCGCTAGATTTTCACCAAGACTTTAAGTATTTTTATGCATCATACCAAAAACCACTCTCCAACTGCTTATAAAGCAATTTTTGTTAGATTTATTTACAAATATTAATGCAAAGTTATGCCTGACAGCTCAATCAGGAGAACATGGTTAGATCCTGCAGTAGGTTTTATAACTCTAGACACCTAAACTCTTTAAACCAGACTATCTCAGACTACAGCAGAATGTCATCTTAAAAACACGCCCTAAGATGAGCAGGTGTTATTTGCTAAGCACACAGTAATCACCCTTTGCCTTTAATTAACACATTTCAATACTTAACCCTTTATCTTCTCTAAATTTCTTCAGGTTACAACAGCTTTTGTCATCTATTTCAGGCCCTTTTCTTCAGCAGACACCCCACCACTGTCACAAGTTCAGTAACTACAGCCAAGAAAATATTACTGCAGCTAAATTAAAAATTCTCTTGAAACTTTTTATTTTCTTTTGAAGTACAATATTGTTAATAATTTGCCACAGTTTATATTAAGTGTTCCAACGTCTAAACAAAAGTTTAATTACAAATTAGAGAGTAACTGTAGCCACTGTAATGGAACATAAATAGCTACTTGCAGTATTTGTTACAATAAGCTCTCTGTTTCCAAATCCCACATAAAAGAGAACTAGAAGCGTTCCTGTATTGTTTCAAATAACATGCTGAATTAAGGCATCCAGCCACTGCTTTTCACAATGGCTGTAGAAAAGCTTATTCTAACATTCACTGATGAATAACCTTCGGCATAAAGCAGCTTCAGCATTCCCCAGGTTTCATCTCTGTAACAAGCAGTACTCTACAGCTAATACCACATTTTGCTTCGCACTGATCTTGATTTAGCATTTTAATTTTTAACACATCTAGCTTAAGAGCTTGTCTGGGAGCTGGACCTGGCAAGAATCTTGGTATACTTTGAATTTACCAGGGGTCTAACTCATTTTCTGAATGAAAACTTTTTTTTTTTGGCATGTGTGTCAGAAATTAGAAAGCACAAGCCACAAACTAGGGGGAAAAATGCTCTTGTAAATACTGTTCTAAATAGATTTCATACACTATCTTACACTAAACGTACAAGCTGCTTTTCAGGAAGGAACAAAGTTATCTATCCTCTTATTTAATACAAACTCTGTAGAAAAATATTTCTGAATTCCAACCCTATCATGGTAACACGGATATATAAAGCAGTTATAAATAAACCACAAGTCAAATGGCATATGGTAGCAGGCATCGGGGAATGAGATTTTCTACAAAAACGTTCGGACACAAGTAGGCTCGATACACTGTTCCTTCAAGGCACTTCTGCCTTAATTAACCAGAATCAAGTGAATCCATTTGCATAACATCAACTTCTACTTTGCCTGGGAAGACACCACTATTGCTGAACATCTTGAAAGGTGAATCCCTCCTATTCATCCACATGTTGACATAATTAGAAAGTGCACCGGTACTGAATTAAGCTTTATTGCTCAAAGGACTTTTTTAATCACATTTACAGAGAAGAAAGCATGATGTTTGAGTTACTTTTCATGTCTTTAAGATAAAGGCTTTTTAAAACTACTGCAAATCTGATTTTTTTGTCAAGTGGAAACAAAAAGCTACCAGGTAAGAAATTAAATAAAAATGCATGTCACAACTATATTCATTTCACATACAATCAACATACCACTAATAGTGGTATCGTATTACTTCATATAGCAAGAGGGAAATAGAAGAACATCTGACAGTTGTTGGACTTCAGTATTAATTCAAAAATACTGAGAGCTAGTTCATTACAAATAGAGTGGAACTTCTCAGGTGTTTGCTGAAGTGTGGGAATAAATTTGCATAATACTTTGGACCCAGCCAGGGGTGAGAACACTGCAGGTGGACAGGAAGCTATAGTTACACTTCATATCATAGAATGGTTTAGGTTGGAAAGGACGTTGAAGATCATCAAGTTCCAACCCCCCTGCCATAGGCAGGGGCACCTCCCACTAGACCAGGTTGCCCAAGGCCCCATCCAGCCTGGCCTTGAACACCTCCAGGGATGGGGCCAACACAACCTCTCTGGGCAACCTGTGCCAGTGTCTCACCACCCTCAAAGTGAAAAATTTCTTCCTGATGTTTAATCTAAATCTCTCCTCTTCCAGTTTAAAGCCATTCCCGTTCATCCTGTCCCTACATGCCCTAGTAAAAAGTCCTTCCCCAGCTCTCCTGTAGGCCCCCTTTAGGTACTGGAAGGCCACAATAAGGTCTCCCCGGAGCCTTCTCTTCTCCAGGCTGAACAGCTGCAACTTTCTCAGCCTCTCCTCATAGGAGAGGTGCTCCAGCCCTCGGATCATCCTCATGGCCCTCCTCTGGACACGCTCCAGCAGGTCCATGTCCTTCTTATGTTTGGAACTCCAGAGCTGGATGGAGTACTCCAGGTGGGGTCTCACCAGAGTGGAGCAGAATCACCTTTGACCTGCTGGCCACACTTCTTTTGATGCAGCCCAGGATACAGTTGGCCTTCTGGGCTGCGATTGCACATTGCTGACTCATGTTGAGCTTCTCATCAATCAGCACACCCAGGTCCTTCTCCTCAGGGCTGCTCTCCAGCCATTCCCTACCGAGCCTGTATTTGTGCTTGGGATTGCCCCAACCCAGGTGTAGGGCCTTGCACTTGGCCTTGTTGAACTGCATGAGATTGGCTTGGGCCCACCTCTCCAGCCTGTCCAGGTCCCTCTGGATGGCATCCCTCCCCTCCACTGTGTCTACCTCACCAAACAGCTTGGTATCATTGGCAAACTCGCTGAGGGTGCTCTCAACCCCACTGTCCATTGCACCAACAAAGATGTTGAACAGTACAGGTCCCAGTACCGACCCCTGAGGAACGCCACTCATCACTGGTCTCTACTTGGACATCGAGCCATTGACCACAACTCTTTGAGTATGACCGTCCAGCCAGTTCTTTATCTATCAAGTGGTCCATTTGTCAAATCCATGTCTGTCCAATTTAGAGACCAGGATATTGTGTGGGACGGTGTCAAATGCTTTGCACAAATGCACATACAATAACAAAACGATTCAAGAAGTGATGCAAGGTAACACCTGGTTGAGCCTGTTAACATAGCAAACTTTTACAAATGCAAAAGTTCACAAGCTCATCAAATCACACCTTGTAACACACCTGACCAAACCAGCTAATGCCAGAGTGGAAAACAACGCAACGCAAGCATATGGCAGATACGGCTTACAATGCTTTCTGATACTACAACTCTATAAGACTTGAGCTACATGAGTCTGCCAGCAGTCAGCGTGCAGCTCTGTCACACGACTCATGCTGACTCCAAGAGCCTGAGCCAACAGAGCACCCAGCTACATAAAGCTCTGTTCCCTCCCGCAGTGATCCAGGGAATCACCTTCTTCACATCCGTTCGCTCCTCTCACACATCTCTCTGTGCTCTTAGGCACACAGTGTTCCTCAGCCACGTAAAAATCTGGTATGCAGCTGGATGTCACAAGGTTTGGCCGCCTCTGCATTCAAACATACAAGTTTTACTCAATTTCCAGTCCAAGATTTCCTTAACATGAACATCATCAGTTGAGCTCTGCTGGCGATTAAGATAGAAATTCCAGGTTAGACAAGGCACATGCAGTGCCCAACATTTCAAGGTCTGTCTCAAGTTTAATGATTCTCAGAACAAATTTTTGTAACATTATCCACCTCAACTCATTATCTACATTACAAATATGACTACCAACAAGAAAGTTTTCTGTAGTCCTACTTCAGCCTTACACTTCAAATTCCTCAAAACAACTGATATTTTAAGACTGTATAATCTGGTAATGTAAAACTAAAAACCTGAAATATATTTAAGTGTTATGTAAGTCTAGCAAGTCTACTAACTGCCTTAATTTTTAGGTGGCTGTACTTTTAGAAAATAAGCCAGTAGATGTTTCCTGCAGAAGAAAAATAAAGCTACTGAATTGGTGAGTGTTACTGGCTATGCAGCAGAAGCCAGTGTATTTGAAAAGCCAGATCAACATTTGGTAATACCAGTCTCTTCTCTTGGACAAAGAAAATACTTTTTTTTTTTAAACTTATTTTACTGAAATGAACTAAATCAGTGTCTCACACAGTAACAACAGCAAGTGTTCTTGTAGAATTCACTAACTAGACAACACTGCCTCTTTAAATTTCATTGTATTAATAAAAACATGGGTTTATAAGCTTCCCTGTATTATGACATACCTGCTTTATTTAAGAAAAAAAAGTTTCATCAAATAGATGTTAGAATTTCAATATGCTTTGACTTACAGAAATACAGTGAAATAACTTTTTACAAAATAACAATGCGTGCAAGATTAAGAATATGAATTAATAAATGCATTTAAAATGTTTGTCTATGATACACTTCCTCTCAATTGCAAGTATCACTGAGCTTGATGCAAAAGGCACATTCCGTCACAAATAAACATAATCAGACTATCAACCAACAGACTACAAGGGAAAAGCTGAATTTTAAGGAGAATGAATACCTGCAGTACAACTGTATTATAAAATTCAACTAACAACACGTATCAGATTGACGTATCTAAAATGTACAGATTTAATTCTTAAATATATTTAACTAGTTTAAATAAATTCTACCACAATGCTCAAACAACCTTTAGCTGAATTGAGATGGTACTATTTATTAGACTAAGTTATAAGCATCTTGCCTTTTTTTTTTTTTTTAATTAAACTAGTCTGTTCTAATCAAGGACTACTGAAATCTAAAACTACATTTCAGAAGGTCAGGGAAAGAACTAATTTCAATTTAAATGTCACACAAATTATATCCACTGATGACGATAAAGTCAGGAACCAGGTTTCCAGGTGGCCCAGGTCAGCGCGTACAGGGCACACCAAGTCACCTATGCAGCAAAAGCAGACTCCATGCAACACAAAGAGAAACCACTTACACAATAACTGCTCAGACTTTGCTACATGCTCCCTGATAAACACACACCCCACCTGCAACACACCCAGTGCACCGCACCACGAACGGTGCCAGCTGGGTGACAGCCCTGAGAGCCGAGCACCAATAATGCTCACTGACAACGTTATCTTATCTACACTTCATACAAGACAGGTACCCAGCTGCTACTGATGACCAGGAGGATTTCTTTTTTTATTTGTCAAGTATGGATGAGAATAATTTGAGAAAACTCCCACAAGATATTTTAGCAGACCACTTGTTTAAAATAAGTTGAAAAAGTCACTTTCCAATAACAGTTTGTTACTTTGGACAAAACCAACAACTGACTTATTAGCTGTGCACCTTAGGACAGTAAAGGTTAGTCTCAGTTGCCTGTGCTGCAGAAGCTGTGCTAGCAGAGTAAGTTCCCAGTATTACTACTTTTACACAGAAGTTTTTGCCTCAAGAGATACTGAGCAGCAGCCAAATTTTCTTCCTCATTCTTAACCAAGGAGGACATAGTGTTCCCATACAAAACAGACCAACCATATCAGTATCTGGCAAAGAACGGCTTTGCTTAATGACTCGCTGCTTAAATTCATACTGGTTCATCAAAAATAAATCTTAATTCTGGTCACATGTAAGTGCGTTGGCATGCATCCACACCACAGAACACTGGCAATAAATAAACAAATAAACAACTGATTCTAGTTGTTTATTTAGTATTAGTATTAGCAACTAGCTGTAGGGACTGGTAACAAACAACACATAACACATGAAATTGAATGTAACATCACAATCACATAGTTTACTTGAAAAGTATTTAAAGGCAAAGTTGACAGAAATTATTCAATACTCATTTAACACTAAGAACATTCACAGTGAGAGCCAGAAGGGCTGTTCTAACTTAGCCTTCACTGCCTTGATACTTCGCTTTTTTTTCTTTTTCAATCAACACGGTCTTCAGAATTACCTTTATAGGCATTTAAAGGGAATGCTTCGCTAAACACTAATGCTGCATAGCTCGCCACGCTTTTAACTCATTAAGTTCCTCACTAATTTTGGCGACGGGGCCACGCACCCCTGAAGAACGAGCGGCGGTCCCGTCCTTTTCAGGTCGTTAAGCGAAATTTAAAAAATGGTGGTTTACGACTATAAAACCCCACCCGGGGGACCCTGACCCGCTGTCCGCTCAGTCTGTGGGGCCAAACCAGGCCAGGCGACCTCTCAGCACCGGGCGGGCCCCTGAGGCGGGGCAGCTCCCCGCAGCCCCCCGCC